GGTGCTGGAGCCCAGCCTTGCTCCTGCTATCTGATGGGACCACTCCTGCTGTGTTCTCCACCCTTCCAAACAGAAACTACAGCTACAAACGGTACTTCAATCCTGAAAAAGCCTTGTCTCAATTAGCTCAGTGCTGAGTGTCTTCAAAGACAGCCGCGATTGGAACACGCGGCGGCCGCTGCGGTTCCCTCCGGGAGAGGCAGACACCACACCTCATTCCTCCACCTGCTCCTGGATCGGGGAGCGTGGCCTGCAGACACAATCCCAGACAGTGGTGCTGCATGGGGATAAAGGCACATGGGCTGCTGCACCTCCAGATGAGTGCTCCCAGCCCTCACCCGTGTCTCCGCACCGAGGTGTGAGGTGGAGAAACGTCAGTGTGTGTGGCATGGGAAGGGTTGCTGGTGGATCTGGCTGGGTGAGGACTTGCTGGCATTCCAAACAGGAGAGCTTGTCTCCGTGCTGGGGGCTAAGAGTTGTGGCAGAGCAATGGTTTCGGTTTTCTGGGTTCCTGGTCCTTCCCTCCAGCAGGCGTTGTCCTCTCGCTGCTCACGTGGCTCTGGCAGAAAGTGGGAACTCATCTGCTCTGGGTGTTTTGGGAGACAAGGTTGATTGATGTCATCCCCTAAAGAGGTGAGGGTGTCACAAATTGGGGTGGGACTTGGCAATGGGACAGAGGCTCCATTTGCTTCTCTTTGAGTTCTGGTTTCTCTGCTTACAGGAGAGACCCAATGCTGAAGCAGGAAGGAACCTGATGAAATCTTCTGCTTTTGTCTTTGGACATGGGTAAAAATCAGGCTCCTGTTGTCCTCAGTGGCCAGCTGAGGCAGTCCTGGAAGCCAGGCTGATGTGGGCAGGGGCTGTACCTTCAGTGAGGAAGGGAAACCAAGGCCACTGTGGACTCTGAGAGGTCTCAAATCCCCTCTTGGCTTCTCCCTGGGGTGTTTGTTCTGAGCAAAGAGAACCCTGCAGAGAGGTGAGGGGCTCAACTGGAGTGAGGCATCAAAGCTGCTACTCTCTTGCTGCTCCTGGTCACTGTCTGGGTTGTGCTGGGTTGTAAGCTGGTGATCCAGGCAGGACCAGGGATGTGAGCAGGCCTCTCTGGCAGGGCATTTGTGACTTTGTCCAGCACATTAATTCAGGAGATGGGACCCTTGCTGCTTCCAGCAGTTCCCCAGGATGGACCATGGAAGGTGGGTGCCGTGTTGCTCTCCAGGTGGTGATGGAGAGCAGGGGGGTGGAAGGCTGTGTCCAGCTCTGTGGCTGTGGCACAGTGCATCCATCTCTGCCCAACTGGTCCTGTGCTTTTGTGGCACAGCCATCCCCCTTCCTCCCAACCACATCCGTTTCTGGAGTCCCCGTGGATCTGGTTTTCCCTGGATGTCTGTCTGCGTGCAGCCTTTTGGCCAGGAGGTGTGTTTAACTGGACCACACATCCGCTTCCCGGAGAGCTCAGTGCTCCCCGTGCTCTGCTGGCAGGAGCCTTTACGAGCCGCGGGGGCAGTGGAGGGAGAACGACCCTGCGAGCCAACAAACCTTGTTCCCCCTGCGCCCAGGCAGGAGCGGCTGCCTGGCGCTGCTGTTCCCTGGCACAGCTCCCGCTTGGATTGGTGCTGGTTTGTGTTACAGCGCCGGGGTCATCCTGACCAGATCATCTCTGCCGGTGCAGGGGAGCTGCGCGAAAGCATCTGCACCTCCCGCAGAGCCTCCGGCGTGCTGGGTTCCAGCAGGACGCTCGCCCGGGGCTTTCCCGGCACATCCCATTAGGTGGCAATGCAGCCTGTGCCTCGGAGCAGCCCCGCGGGATGACGGCAGCCAGAAACGGCTTCAGGCCCCGTGGGGAAGGAAGGCTGCGGTGGCCAAGGCTCCTGGGTGTGTGGAAAAGGCTCTAAGTATGTGGAAAAGGCTCTCAAATCTGTGCTTTTAACTCTATTTCGGCCCCTGGGATTCCCGTGCCCCTGGCTCTGAGGTGCCCTGTAGCAAGTGGTGGCTGTGGCCATCCCTGGGCCAGCTCTGTCCCTTGTGTGGGCCACGCGGGTTCTCTTTGCAAGTGCTTTGGCCTCTGTGTCCACACTGGTGTTCCCTGTTTGCCTTGTTCCGTGTTGTTTCCAAGGCTGAGAAAGCACCCAAGTGGCATCGGGGCAAGAGGGGCACTGAGCATCTTCTCTGGGCAGCTCCTGTTCCTCTGCCTGCCTTACAGACCATCTCAGGCTCCTGCTCTCCCTCCTCTCAGCAGACTTTCCCAGGCCTACAGAGGACAGAGGAGACACCTGCAATGCCCTTGGCCTCAAGCTCTTGCTCAAGAAACGTGTGAGTAAAGAGCTCACCTGGCCGAGTGCTGGCCTGCAGCCAGGGGACTTCCCAGGATGACCACTGGGCCAGACAGCAGGATTGCTCATGGAGCTCAGCATCACCTGTGGGAGTGCCCTGTGCGCTGCTGGAGAGGAGATGCCTGAATTTCAAACAGGAGTTGAGGTGAAAGCACAGGGCTGGAGGCTCCGTGGGTCCCCCGGCAGGGATTAGGGGAGCACTGGACACTCCTCCCAGTCCCCACGGGCAGCCCTGTGCTCCGTTCCCCCCTCTCCTGGCCTCCAGTGAATCGTGCATCCCATGACCTGCCTCTCCCCTGTGTAACTGGGATGTTATCTGGAGATTGGAAAGCACTCAGGTCCAGACCTCGGAACAGAGCAGTGTTAATGGCAGCCCAGCCAAGGGGAATGAAGGAATATTAAAGTGTGATATTTCATTGCTCTGTAATTAACTTCAGCTGCTTTCAAGCTGCAACAAATTACCCTCAAAGCCCGTTTTTGTACCGAGGAGAACTTTGAACTGCGTTACCAGCCCTGGTGTCTGGGAGGGAGCGGGGAGGCTGCTCCTGCTGTCTGTGGCTGCAGCTCCGTGTGTGGTTTGGGATGCAATGCTGTGGCCCAAACCAGCCCCAGGCCGGGTGTGCCCAAACAAAGGCAGAGGCTGTGTGTTGGGGCTGGAATTAACCCCTGCAAGGGAGAGCCCCAGGGGTGGGAAACTACCACAGCGCCTCAGGAGAGCCTTCAGCTCCACCCTGCTTGTCTTTTCTGCTGGGAGCTATCCTGGGGCACCCCCGGGATTGCTGCAGCCTGAGGCGGGTGTGCCCCGTGCGGTGCCTCAGAGGCTTTCGGTACATGTGACCATTCCCAGGGCTTCCAAAATGCTGTGTGCAAGTTAATGCAGGGCCTGAAACTTCGACCAGCTTGTTGGAGAGAAAATTCAGCAGAGCTGCATGTTAGAAGCCAGCTGGCTGGTTCAGCAAAGACCTGGGGATCCCATCGTTTTCGGGAGCCGCTGATGCCCTTGAGAGGCACAAAACACAGCTCTGCGTTCCCCAGCAGGACCCCTCCTGCTTCAGCTCCCTAAATACTTGGAGAATACACTTAGCACTTGTTTGCATTTACTTTGCATCTTCTCTCTCCAGCAGGAGCCATGGAGCTGGTCCTGGGAATGTGGCCCAGGCTCCTGCCACACGCCCGATGGCGCTGCGGGATTTCCAGGCAGAGGGGCTGCCTGGGCTGGTGGTGCCAAGCCCTCCTCATCCTGGAGAAGCCGCTCTGGAAGAGCAGGACTGCAGCAGCTTGTCTGGGATGCCTCAACCAGGGGCAGCTTAATTACCCTTGATAAATTCATGAGATCATAAAACCAAAGAAGATGGGAAGTGTTCCTGCTCAGCCCTTGTTGCCAACGGGATGCAAGGCAGGCACACTTGGAACTGGTCTGAGCGGATTAAGCTCAGCATCCAGAGCAACTGCAGAGACAACATGCTCTGAAGAGGGGGAGAGCAATCTTCCCAGCTCTGCAGTGTTATCCAGGGATGTGCTCTTCCCTTTGGAGACCTCCAGGGCAGCTGGGGAGCTGTGGCACAGGTCCCACATGTTTGCCATGTGGGTCCCTTGCCCATCCCTGGGGGAGCTGATTCTCCCTGGTCTCCAAGGAAAGATCTCAGCATTCTCCCATGTCCTGGGGAAGGGCTGGCTGTCCCCTTGGATGTGCTCGGGAGAGGAGGAGGGAACTGTGGCTGGTCTGGATCTCTCTCTGCCCCTCTTCATGTGCCTACCAAGGGGGTGGTCAGAGGAGTCTGAAGAGCTGCTCTGTTTCTGTAGATGATGTTGGGGGATGAAAATCCCTGATCTGGATGTGTTAGAGAGGTAAGCAGACCTTCTACCCAAATTCCCAGGGAGAAGGCCAGCAGCCCGGATTCCATTGTGCCACCCTGCTCCTGCCTGGGATGGCTCAGTCCCAGCCTGGGGCCCAGCAGCCCTGTTCCACCAGCTGCAGTGGGGTTCCAACCCCTGGGCATGGCATAGGAAGGGTCACAAGGAGCCCAATCCATGGGCAAGAGGCTTAAAAAACAGAGGGAAGTTTCCACCTCCATTTCCTGCTGTGCTGGTGGAGCAGTGCTGGAGCACAGCCTGGTGCCTCAGGCAGGAGATGTGAAGCAGTGACACGTGGCTTAGCTTTAATTACCCTTAATTACCCAAACCCATCCACCTGGGTCAAAATCTGGGGCAGGTGCATCCCAGTGGGACAAGGGAACAGGGAGACTGAGCAGTGCCCTGCTGGAGCTGCCCTTCCCAGGAAAGCTGTGTCGTTTGGATCCTGCTGGGAGCGCTGCAGCCCCAGCCTTATCACCTTCACTAGGCCAAGTGGAGTGAGTTAATGATGGGATTCATCACAAAGCAATCCAAGGAGCAGCGGTGGATCCAAGTGCTTTCCATTCGGTGATGCACATCCAAACCTTAATGGAAGCTGACAGCCTGACCCTGGGACCGTGCTCTGGCCAAATACAATCAGCCTGATAGTTCCCTGAAGAAAGCAGCCATGGCTTTAATGTGTCTTCTCAAAACATTTGTCTCACCAGCTTAAAAAGAGAAGCCCAACCTGCAGAGGTGCAGAGCTGGGGTTGCCTGACCTCCTCTCTTTTCCCCAGCTCTGCAGCGCACAGTGGTGCAGCTTGAAAAGCCTCAGCCTGGGAATGTGCTGGGATGGCTCAATCCAGCAAGGAAAGCTCCACCAGCATCCCCAGTCCTCTCCAGGCTGTGCTCTCAAGTCGGCATCGCTGGTACCCAAGGGAAGAATTAACATACTGTGAGTACTAATAAGGAAACTTCAGTAATTGAAGATGTTTGGAGGCTTTCGTTGGCATATTTGGGTTTGGAGGTAATATTTTACTGCACCAGCTCTTCCTCTGCTCTAAACCTTTCCCTGCCTTCTCCCTCTGCAGTTTAAAAGGGAAACAACATGTTTTATTCCAAGTTCCCAGCACAAGTCTCCATCCCTCTTGCCAACTGTACTTCTATTAAAAAAATCTCGACATTGCCCCTCAAGCAAAAGATCAAACCTTTGATATAAAACGAGACTGGGAAGGAGAGTTGAGTTTTCCAAGCCCCAGTTTCATCCTGACTGACGGTGTATTCCTATCTTCCTTTTTTTCCCAACTCCTCCTGGTTTTGATAATCAAGCCCACTACTGCTGTAGGTCCATTTATTGCATCAGGGAAGGACTGAGCCAGGCCTGGGCCTCGAGCCACTCCTGCTCATGCCATCCAAACAGGCTGGGATGTGGGCTGAGCTGCAGGTGCCCTCACAGCTGATCCCAGCACCTGGTTGCACAGAGAGATTGTAGACTCCAACCCTGGAAGGGTTCAAGGCCAGGTTGGATGGGGCTTGGAGAAACCTGGGACAGTGGGAGGTGTCCCTGCCCATGGCACGGGGTGGAATTGGATGGGATTTAAGGAGCCTTCCAACCCAAACCCTTTCATGATCCCATGGTTTGAATGATGGCTGCAGCTCCTTGCAGGGCAGGTGCAGAAATGAGGAGCCAAGATCTTCCCAGTAACAACATGAATGGCTACAAGGAAAATCTTCCAGGAGTGGCTGGAAGGAGAGAATACTGATAGCCATCCTTGTGGTGAGAGTGCTGGTTGCCACTGTGGCTGGCAAAGGATTCTTACTGACTCCTCAGCTGGTGCCAGGATCCTCAGGGAAAGCTGCAGGAAGTCCTGGAGCCCTCATCCAGGCTACTCCCTAGAACCCATTCCCAGAAAAGGTGGTCTCTCCTCAGGAAGTCTTCTCCAGCGTGGTCCTCGATGGACAAAACAGCCCGAGTGGTTTCTGGGGCTCACGTGTGGCTCACCCACTGAGCTTTCCCGTTTCTAATGGAGTTTATTTTTTGCCCTGGATAATCCAATAGCCAAGGTCGGCTCAGCAGTTGTTTGATCCCACAAGTCCCTTGGCCCCATCATATGACATTGAGTTCCTCGAGGCAAACTGTGTGAAAAGATGCTTTTTTCCCCCCCCCCCTCACTTCTGAATTTACTGTCCCTTCATTCCTGCTGAATGCCCCGTTGTTTGCAGAGCCTGAATACGAGCTCTGTCCCCGGGACCGGGATGGCCCCATCCACTGGGCACCTCAAAGATGCTTTTCCTGAATGTGCTGATTTTCAGAAGAGCCCTCCAAGGCAGGGCAATTACTGTGGCTTTGTGCAATGACCTTCATCCAGAGGATGGCCCAAGAGGAAGATGGGGATGGTGGCACTGAGTGGACCCACTGGGAGGGGGGAGGGAAGCCAGGCAGCTCTAGTGGGAAGAGCTCTGAACCCCTCTTTGTGCTGCTGGAGCAGTGACCCCATCTGTCCTCTGCCCTCTCCTCAGTGCAAGTGCTGTGGGAGAGCCTGGGACAGAGAGGGAGCTGGGGATGATGAGGCTGGAATTGTGTTCATTCCCTCCTCGGCCCTTTCCGGGGCTGCTCTCTCCCCTTTGCTTTTCATCCTGCTCTATCTGTTCCCCATCCTTGGGAGTGTCCAAGGCCAGGTTAGACAGGGCTTGGGGCAACCTGGGATAGTGGATGGTGTCTCTGCCCATGGCAGGGGGTGGGACTGGATGAGCTTTAAGGTCCCTTCCAACCCAAACCCTTCTATGATGGCTGGGGGACAAGCCATGGCACAGGATGAGGACTCCCTTTCCCATCCAGAGCCTGGCAGTGCCACCCAGCTCACCACCAGCAGCCCCACAACTCACCTGGGAATTGCTGCACAAGGACAGCAAGGACACAAGGACATTTTCCATCTCCATGTGTGTCTACCTCAGATGTGGGGAATGGGGGTGTCCCCTGAGTCACTAGAGGTCCGTGTCACACTGGCTGGGCTCTGGAGCCTGCTCCTCTCCAGGGGGCTGGGACCATGCTCACAGCCTCCTGCACCTTCAGAGAATCCCAGAGTGGTTTGGGTTGGGAGGGACCTTAAAATCCATGTCATTCCAATCCCTGCCGTGGGCAGGGACACCTTCCACTAGACGAGGTTACACCTTCTGCAGGCAGGAGCAGATGCTGGCAGGGAGACTCAGGTGGGAGAGGATGATGCTGTGGACACCTTCACTGCCTCTGCTCTCCTCTCCTTGGCACTCCAGGACCCAAACCAGGCAAAACTCACTCATCAGCGTCAGAAGCAAATGGCTTGGAAGCATCCAGGTAAAACTGCAACTCTTTTGATCTTTGGGGCTTTGTTTTGTTTGCTTGATCTTACAGCTCCCTAACACTTTTGTGTTGGAATCACAGCAGTTATCACATCTTCCTTGTCACTGCTGCAGAGGAAAGCTAAAAGCAACCTGTTCCTCCATAGCTTGTGCCACAAGGATCCTCGAGATCCACAAGGATCCTACCAAAACAGGTCTGACCAAAGCACTTCAGAGACCAGATCTCTGCTGGAGTTCACTGCAGCACCTCCACAGCCCTCCCCGAGCCAGCCCCCTATTCCCACTGTAGATGGAGGACAGCAGGCACCCACTGGGGAGGATGTTGGTGACAACTGGGAAGCCCTGAAATCAGAGATATCCGTGGGGCAGGACCCTGTGTGTGACCCACCCCACGTGCCAAGACAGCGGGTGGAGTGGTCACTCTTCCCTCCCAGGGTCCCATCCCCGCATCCTGCTTGCTGAGAGCGAGCTGTCTGAAGGAACAGGAATTGCTGCCAGGTTAGGAGGTGTTTCTCACCCCCATGAAAACAAACAGGGCTGATTTGTTCCCAATTTGCTCGTCCATGGGAGCTGCAAAGCTTTGCCTGCGTGGGGTGGGAGCTGGGAGTTTGGCTCCGTTTGATCGCGTGCTCTCCTGCCCCAGCTTCAAAGATCTCTTTGCTTTTCCACTCCCTTTTATGTCCCATCTCTTGAAGTTCCAGTCCTGCACGAAGGCACAAACCCAGGACAGCTGAAGGCTTCCAAATGCAATTATTTTCCAAAGCATTTCAATAAATTAGCAGCTCGTTTCTTTGCCAGACAGCACTTCCCTTCCCATTGACCCACGTCTGTGCAGCCTGCAGTGTGCCTTGGACCTTTATCCTCTGGGATGTCAGCCTGGGAGGATGGAGCTGGGCACTCTTAGCTGTGATTCAGACCTGGACTGGGACTCCAGAAGGGTTGGCACGGGCATCTGCAGATATATATTTTTTTAATAGCCATTTATTTATTAAACTACTTTGGAGTCTGATTCACTCGCTCTGTTCGATATTTATTGGTGCTTCAGCTGCCTCGAACTGGGAGCACTTTGATTAATGGATTTGCCTTTCCTGGAACCGTGTCCCAACATCAGCTCATCAGCATCCTCAGCCAAAGCACCACTCTTGTAAATCAAGGATGGCAAGTAGAAAAACCCCAAGCAGGGCTTGCCCGGGGGCAGGACAGCGACCCATGCACCCAGCTCCCCAATTCCATGGATTCAGAACTTGGATAAGGGATTCCAAGGGACTGAAAGCTCTGTTTAATACAGGGATTCATCTCTTCCCAGTGTCTTATCTAACCCTGCCCTCTGGCAGTGGGAAGCCATTCCCTCTTGTCCTGGCACTCCATGCCCATGTCCAAAGTCCCTCCCCTTTAGGTCTCTCATCTCTGTCCTATCCCACCAGAGGCTAAAAGGACTTGGATGCACAAGGATTGGGGCAATGGCAGTGTAGGAAAGAGCCTGAGAATACCAGCTAAAGGTGAGCTGCTGTCATTGCATGAACACGAACCACCCAGCCTGGGATCAAGCTGGGATTTTCCCTGAAAATGCTTCTCTGTGGTAGAGAGAGGTGGCATTTAGCAAAGGCGGTTTTGGGACACGTCTATATTGAATGTCTAGATGTTGCTATGGAGAAGCTGGATGGAGGCCACCAGGAAAAAGGAGGCTCAGGGGGGACCTTCTCACTGTCTACAACTCCCTGACAGGATTGGGGAGCCGGAGGGGGTTGGGCTCTGCTCCCAGGGAACAAGGGACAGGACCAGAGGGAAGGAACAGCCTCAAGTTGCACCGGGGGGGGTTTAGATTGGATATTGGGGAAAATTTCTTCACCAAAAGGACAGTCAGGGGTTGGATCAGTCTGCTCAGGGCAGTGGTGGAGTCCCCATCCCTGAAGCGCCCGAAAGCCACGTGGATGTGGCACCTGGGGACATGGGCTGTGGTGGCCTTGGCAGTGCTGGGTTAGGGGTTGGGCTCAATGAGCTGAGAGAGCTTTTCCAACCTTTGTGATTCTGTGATTCCATGAAATAGCACCTGGCTGAAAAGGAACCAGGGAGATGTTCCTGGGGGGCTTCCTGCTTGCCCAGGTGCCTGGATTTTGGTGTGGGCTGGACTCCCAGGGCAGGGCCATCCATGGAAGGGTGATGCTGGGTCTGCCCTGGGAAGGTGGGTTATGAGTGGGGCCCCGCAGCGACAAGGAGATGTACCCACAGCTGTCCCCTCTGCATGGGGAGCTTTTCTTTTAAAATAATGGCCAACAAAAAAAATCCCTGTCACTTAACAAAAATATTTCAGGCCTTTTGGGTTTTTCCCTGTGATTAAGTCTAATGAGAAGAGACAGCAGAGGCTTTATCAGTATCTGCTCACTGATTCCAGCTTTGCCTCTGTGGTGACAAGAGATCTAATGCTGTTATTCCCCAGCAAGGACTTCATGCAATGTGAGCGGGGCCCTGACAGCCGAGCTGCATCCCAGCCCTCCCTGAAGTATGGAGTGGTGGGGGAAATAAAACAGCAGGATAAACTGGGATGGAGGAAAGTATCTGAACCTTGACAGCACTGCCATGGTAACGGGGGACCTGCCAGTGCATGCTGCAGGCTGGCACCGGGGGCAGAGTGGCACCGTGGGCACTGTGACACGCTGTTATCCAGGATGGACTGGGATGGAGAGGCTGCGTTTTCCCTTATGGAAGTCAGCAGCAGCCTTGGGAAGATGCTCTGGGAGCCGATGGCAGGGTGAGAGGCAGCTCTGGGACACGAGAGTCTCTTGAGCGAGGTCCAACCTCCTCTGCCTCCCCTTCCCCCTCCTCACCCGCAGTCCCAGTGCAGCTTCCAGACCAGCTGCTGCTGGCTGGACCACACAGCCGTGGGGGAGGTTAGTCATGCTGGTGGGAAGCAGCGAGATTCCCCTTTGGGAAAACACACCAAGGCTCAAGGCTATGTTTGCATTTCCCCTAAGGAGTGAAGCCCAGAGCTTTGCCCGTGGCTCAGCCCAACCAAAAACATCCCCGGACCCACAGCATCCGCTGGGCAGCGTCCTCCCTGCCCAGGGGTGTTCACAGCCCTGGCCAAAGCAGCTCCTGATCGCCCCAATCCCCTCTCCCAGCTGCTTGGCTTGAAGGCAGGGCCAGGCAGAGAAGGCTCTGTCCCAGAGGGGCCTTTTGCCTTCCTGTGGCCAAACCGTGGGTCCAGCACGGGGAGGGGCAGCACTGAGGGTCCCTCAGGGCGGGACGGGAGCGTGTTTGGGTGGGGGTGTCTCTGGCAGGGGGGGTGCCGTGGGCAGCAGGGTGGGTTGGGAACAACAGCTGTGGGCTGGGAGCAGTGCTGGGAGCAGGGATTGATGGAGGGGTGCTGTGCTGTGTTTGCCCCCAGCCCTGCCCAGCTGCAGGGGCAGAACGTGCCCTTCCAGCCGCGGCCCCTCCCGAGCAGCCACGTGAGAGGCGACGGAGGAAAGACGGGCTAAAAATAAACCCGGGTAAAAATAGCCCCACGTGTGCTCGCTTTCCAGGCGAAACGAGGGGAAGTTTCATCTGAAGGGAAGAAAACCACACCGAAATTTACCTTCCCAGCTCGTCCTCTGGGAAGTGGGACCTGTCTCCAGGCAGGGGAGAAGCGCTTGGTCCAGTACGGCCCCTGGGAGCTGGGGGAAGTGGGGAACGTGGGCTGAAGTGAGCTCTGGCAGCACATCTGGGCTGATGTTTGCAGCACTGCAGCTCCACTGCTGCGGAAGGAGCAGTTCCCCCTCCCAGCTGGAGTTGGGTCTGGCAGAGCCTGGCATCTGCATCACCCCCAGGTAACCACTTCTGTTTGAGGGGCAAAGAGAGAAGCTCCCATCCCCAGCACCCGAGGGCATCCAGGCAGCTGTAGGCTGAGCTTTGAAATGCAGCAGAAGCTGCTCTGTCCTGAATACAGGCAGTTATTTCTCACCCAAACAGGGCAAGGGGGGGAAAAAACCCTGCTACAGAGCTGCAAACTGGGGTGGCTCCTTGGGAGTTTCACAAAGGGAGATGCCTAATCTGGATTAATGATGTCACAGGGCTGGGACTCCATCTCAACCCGTGCTAATCCACAAAATATGTCAGTGCACCTCTCCCCTCTGCGTTGCTGCCTCCCTCTCCTGCAGTTTCTCTTAGCAGAGGGAATTTCTCTCCTTTCTGCCCAGCTGAGCTCCCTGGTGCTTAGGCAATGCCTCTGGGCTGACCTAACTACAAGGACACAGAAGGATTCATCCTTGTTGCAGCAACGGGGAAAAAAAATGTTGATGGTATTATGATGGAAAGCCAACCTCACCTAAATTTGTGCGTGGTCCCAGTGCACTGGGAGGTTCTCCTGGGCTGGAGGAGCAGACAGCTGGGGCTGTGAGTGCTGCCCAAGGCTCATCTCCGCCTGCTGACACCCCCAGGGCGTTCAGAAATCCAGGCAGAGTTCCCGTCCCAGACCCACTCGTGCCAGGTTTGTGTTTTCCAAGGGTTGTTTCCTAGGTATTTCTGTTAAGCAGAGATCCTCAGATGGGCTGGGCGGGGAGTTGTGGGGATACCCTGAAGTGTCCTCAGCCTCAGGCTTTCCCAGGACAAGCTGTGGAGGGGCTCCTCCTGCCCCGGGTATGATGCAGATGCCTCCAGCTCCTTCATAGGTATTTGGGTCCCATCTAAAGCCAGTTTGGTGGTCCCCTTGCCCTGAGACCTGATGGAAGTTTATCGAACCTAACCAGAGTCTGAACTCAACTTTTCCTCTTCCAATCTGTTCTTTATGGGCTTGGTTGCATTTTAGGAGCTCAATAAAAACAATTGTTAAAACTGAAACAGAAGAAAAAAATGGTCATTACAACACATTCCAGGCTGGCACATGTTAGGAATGTTCTTAATTAATAGCGTGGTGGGAAGGAAAACGAAAGGGAAATGTTAAAGCAAGACTGTGGACAGATGTAGAGGAGGAGCCCCACGAAGGGAGATGTCCACAAAGTCTCTCCTACCACACAGCCTCCAAATTGCTCCCAGGAGAGGACTGTGGAGCCAACCTGGATCAGCCCCCTGTGCTGATCCAAGCCTGTGGCAGGATAGGATGCCTTGGCAGTGCCAGTGTTGGATGAGGACAGGACAGGAGCAGAGAAGCTGATGAACCTGCCAGGCTCTCCTGCCTTTTAGTTTCTGATCAAAACCTTATTTCTCTGTGACAGGGGGAAAGACAAATCACAGCGTCCAAGAAGGCTCAGTACCTGTGTTAGACAACTCCTGGCCAGCTGTGGTGAGATCCTGAGGCTGTGCTTGCCACAGAAAGGGCTGTCAGGCACCGGCACAGGCTGCCCAGGGCAGTGGTGGGGTCACCATCCCTGGAAGCGTTCCAAAGGTGTGTGGATGTGGCACAAGGGCACTGTGGTGGTGGCGCTGGGCTGATGGTTGGACTTGATGATCTTAGAGGTCTTTTCCAACCTTAAGGATTCTGGGATTCTAAAAGGGCCTTTCTCTGGATCATGCTGGATGGCGACAAGGTCTGGTGGAATCCAGACGAGTTCAGACAGAGCCAGTTTACCAACACCCCTCCTCACAGCGAGCTCCCGATGCTGTTACACAAGGCTGGCAGACCTCGGCCTTTCAGGCTGGAAAGGTGCTCCCCATCCCTGCTTTATCTTGTAAGTGCAAACGAAGGAGGAGAAATGGGGAAAAGCTCCTTTGTCACCTCGTTCCTCACCTTTTATTAGGATAATCTTCCTTTCACTGGTTTTGTTTTGTGTTGGTTTTTTTTTTCCACGCTGTCGGTCTTTGCTTTGTTTGCTTGGAGAGAGCGCTGGCACACACTCCAGGAAATTAGCTCTTAACTAAAGGCATTTATGTAATTGGGGAGGGCGGGGGAGGTGTGCGCGCGCTGACTTTGGGGAAGTTCAGTCCACAAAAACAAACCTCGCAAACTCCACTTGGTTCTGATTAAGGAGGATAAATCTGTCAGTGAGAGGCTAAATTTACCGAGAGTGTGACCTCCTGCCCCTCGCCC